GCTCAAGATTTTGGTCACACTTGGACTGGGATCCTCTGAACTTGTTCTTGAAACCTCAAGTCCCCCCGAAGAAATCTCCCGTGAGCTTCGGTTGAGCTCCCTGCAAGGCAGCAGGATCACCACTGCCCGAAGCAACGCCATGGCCACTCGAAGCACTGTGCTCAAGGAAGTCAGGGTTCTGAAGCTCTCAAGGGCTGTGCAGTCTGCAACATGCGGTGGGCACCTTTGCTTTGGCTTCCCTAAGTCTTCACGATATGTCGCCTCAAGCAGCCAAACTTGAATCTTAGAGCATTTTCGGAGCCCTAGTAGAGCCCATCTTTAGGCTGCCCGTGAGCCCAGCGCGCGCAAGACGAGAGCTTTGCATGAGCTGCCAGCTTCAGCCCCTGGGCAGTTGAGGATTCTTTGGGGGAGGTGGGGGGGGGGGGGGGGAATATGGGGCCTTTAGGTGCTCTTCAGGGGCTCATGGGTCCAGGGCTTCGGTCTTGGTTGCTAGAGGCTCCAGGTTGTAGGGTTGCGAATGCGCGCGCCCAACTTCACATCCCTGACCTCGAAGGGTTCATCGTATCTTGCGAACCAAAGAATGCAGTTCTTCTTGGGGCACTTTGGCCTTCAAGCCCTATGCGAAGTACCTGAATTTCTTCATAACCTGGACAGGCCCCTTCTGCAAGCAAGGCAGAATGCTGAGCCTGAAGCCTCAAGATTCGACCTAACGCCACAAACGCTAAAGCGGCCATTCAGGAGTTTACGATTTCGAGCAAAGGTCCCTCAAGCCGAACATCCTTAAGCCGCCAAGGATGCAACCCTCGACTCGCGGGCTTGTTTCTTGTGGTCTGCCGAGTGTCTTAATGCGTCGCCCCTTCACATTTGACGGGCGAGTGAGTGGAAACGTGGCCGTTCAAACTATGCTTTTGCCCTTACTTTGAAGCTTTTACTCTACCATAAATTTAACGAGGCCTCGACATAGCTGAGGTCATGAGCTGTACCCCCAAGCTCTCGGCCCGAAATCCTAGTTCCCATCCCTGAGCCCCAAACTTTCAACCCTAAATCCCCAACCCTAGTAGCCCTAGCACACAAACGAATCACAGCATTCAGTCAGGTTGAGGATTGAAGCCTGCGCGCTTGGTCTCGCTACCCATAGAAGCTTGAGGACTCCTTTTTTATACTCAGGGGTGCTGTTTCTGGCATTGGTTAGACCTATAAAATAAAAGAACCCGCAACTTCAGGCTTCCTAGTCCGTGGTAGCACGCCTCAGCCCAGCGTGTGTCGCGTCACCAAATAATCTCTTTCAGCCCTAAACCCTACAGATCCCACATACCCCAAGACCCTACAACTGATTTGGGGGGTGGTCGTGGAACTAGGTGTGGCCACCTCCAATGATCGCTGCACATGCCAGGAGCATGCGGTCAGCACCCTGGCAAGTTCCTTCTGAGGGCAACCGAAGGGGCTCGCTCTTGGGAGTAGAGCAATCTGAAACCCTAGGCAAGCCAGCTAGTTATGTCCTTCATCCCCACGTCGGTTCAAGCTATGCGGCTGTACTAAGTTCGTGCCCGGTATAAGCCTTGAACTCTACACCCCCTACATCCCTCATCCCCTACTCCCCAACAGCCCCTTCAGTGCAACGAACTCCACCTTAACAACTACACATATCCAACTTACTAGCTAGCTCTGGACTCTAGACTCTTGACCTGGCTTGCACTAGCGGTCCTTTGAGCTTTGGACATCCCCAAAATGCAGCCTTCAGCTTTGGTGCAAAGTTTTGGGGCGTCAGACTCTTCGAGCTTCCGGGCTTTTAAGGCTATGGTCGAAAGGGTGGTGGCCGCCTGCTCCGTCGAAGTGGGGGGGGTTGGGGGTGGGGGGTAGGAGGCCGGCGTGGAGTGGGTACCTCCTGTTTGCAGGGCTGCGCAGGGGAGATGGTGCCGCCAAGGAGGGCCTAAAACAAAACCCTTGAGCCTTAATCAACCCCTCCCCCTTTGACGCGATTCCAAAGTTCGCGGTGTGGGTTGGGATGAAGGATAGCTCCACATAGCTCCACGGCATCAGCTCCCCAAGTGAGATAGCCTTCTACTGACGGCGTTGCGGCGTCCGGCTGTGCCTCTCAGCCAAGCGATTCTTTCTCTGCAAACTTCGAGGGCTGGTAGATTGGCAGCCTAAACACAGGAATGCACATCTACTGGAGACTTTTACAGGTCTCCCTTGGCGACATCACACTCTCATTGTCTGTGGCTTCATGCAACGAGAGGAGCTATTGTAAGTTGCACCAGTGCCTGCCCACAGCCCGGCTCTAAACCTTAATTAGTCCTCAATGTCAACCCCGTTTGAGTGTCCCGCTTGGGAACTGGGTTTGTGACCTTGGCGCCTAACATGCTTCATCTTAGACAGCACCGAAATAAAGGCTGGCTCGACACCAGCAAGTTCAGCAACACTCGGACTACCTTCCACAAAACATACAACACCTAGCCTCGTCGAACAGTCTAGCCATGAACATGGAGAAACTGACAACGACACCAGTGAAAAGTCTTCTTGAGGCCTACACTCAAGACACAACGCAACTGCTGAGTCTCTCTACCGGCCCGCAACTAGGAAGGCCAACGTGCTGCGCACCAGATTTTGACTTGGACGTATCTTCGATCCAGCAATCGAGTCGATGTTGGGTCTAGCGGTCTAACGCCATAAGATGCTCGGTTTGGGGATATGGGCATCGGGAAGTGATCTCGGATACTGTCAGGGCACACAGCCTCTTATCTGCACGAATGATCTGATGCATCAATGGCCACTGACCACCCTTAACGTGCTCACCAAACAAGAGGCTGAACAATGAAACTGTCGACATGCAAGTTCCATTGGGAACATTTGTTGTCAGTTTTGTTGGTCACTGCAAGCATGTGACTAATGAACTTTGCATCGCAAAGAGTTCTTTCTAGGAACACTACACGAGCAGCAAAGCACCGTAGTGGGAGTCCCAAACATGTGAACGGGTCCGCGCTCGTGAGTTAACTGTTCGCTGCAAGCTGGCTGTTTGGACGAGGTGTTGCCCTTCCATACTTTCTCTGCGACGAAAAGCAGACCTGAACAAACCCCTAAACCCTAAATCCTAAACCCTAAACCCTAAACCCTACAGATCAGAGTGCGCATCTCGTTGCCTTCCAAGGCGCGAACGACTTCAGGATGCTACAGAGGGGCCTACGGGGGGCTTTCTGCCAGATGATAGGTAAGGGCAGAAAGGTTCTCTATCGGAACAGCTTAGGGTTTAGGGTTTAGGGTTTAGGGTTTAGGGTTTAGGGTTTAGGGTTTAGGGTTTACGGTTCCTGCTACAATGGCTGAGGGCTTGGGCGTGGCTCTTGATCCGCTACCTGAGTCAAGATCCGCCCCTCCTGGCATCCCGGTAGCGCCATCGTCCGATGCTAAAGGAGGAAGCCAAGCCAAGCGAAAGGGAACCTGTGATAAATCCTTCAGGCGAATCTCAGTACAGTGGGCTGGTGGTGTGATCTTTTTTTGGTGGTTTTTCAAGCCCTGCCATTCTCCCAGAGGCTTCGCCCGGCGCTCCTCCTTTAAATTCTTCACGCCTTGTCTCACGAGGTGCGCGCTTCGCCGAAGGTAAAGAGACCTCGCAAGGACCCCAGCGATGGGGATGGAAGCTCTCAACACGACGTGTGCGGCTTAGGGTTTCGAGCTTTCAGGTCCCCCCACCTCTAAGGACCACTCCTGCTGCCATTTGCTGCTGCTGCTGCTGCTGCTGCTGTGGTGGCGCCAGCGTCGTTGGTCATGCTAGCGCCCCTAAAATCGAGACCCCTTGCAGATTTAGGGTTTAGGGTTTAAGGGTTTATCGGGTTTTAGGGCTTTAATAAGGGTTTTAGGGTTTCAAGGGTTTTAGGGGATTAAGGGTTCTAGGGTTTTAGGGTCTTTAGGGTTTCAGGGTTCCTCACTTCCAGGTCTACCCCTAAACCCTAAACCCTAAACCCTAAACCCTAAACCCTAAACCCTAAACCCTAAACCCTAAACCCTAAACCCTAAACCCTAAACCCTAAACCCTAAACCCCCGGTCTTGGGCCCCGCGCTAGCGTGAGGCGAAGGTCGGCCTTGGCCTTGGCAGCTCCAGGTCGTACACCTCCGGAACGTGCGGGGTTAGGGTTTAGGGTTTAGGGTTTAGGGTTTAGGGTTTAGGGTTGAGGGTTTATAGGGTTTCTAGGGTTTAGAGTTTAGGGTTGGGATGCTCCCCCTTATACCAACAGGTCCTTAGTACGAAATAGAATAAGGTACTCGAATCCATATTAAGGATGGTTAGTACAAGGGGGAACATCAGAGGTCATGATTGCATAGGGCGCGGAATGCCCTGAATCCCCTGAGCCATCCTCAGCCGCTTCAGGGGAAGGATGTGCTGCTTTCGTGGCTTGAGTTCTGGAGGGCTGTGGAACAAGGCTCCGGCGGGGGGGGGGGGGCTCGTTTTGGGCGGCTGGACGTTCTTGAACTTGCTGTTGGGGGAGCTGCCCATGATGGGGACAATCCAAAACCTCGACCACTTCCCCTACAGTTCAATGGTGAGCACTCTTTCCGTTTCCATAGAGCCACTGAGCCCGCGGCAGCACGGATGCACGCCCACGCCTCAATGGTGGATCGGCACGGCTTAGCGCCATTTGGGGTTCAGGAATTTACGTTTCTGGTTTAGCATCATGAGGACAGGAGCTTCCACAGGGAGCAAACCGCAAAGGTCGTTGAGTTGAATTGGGATTTTCAGCGAATCCATATCCGCTACTTTCCTACACACCTTCCCAAACCCCAGCCCCTACCAGCCTGCACCCCCGCCCCCCCCCCCACCCCCCCCCCCCCCCCAACAAAAAAAAAACTATGCTAGACACATGGGTGGTCCCTTTTTGGGCCCTATCTATTACTAAAGCACCCATATAAGAAGGACCCCAAAAAAGGGCCCCTAATTTCGAGAACTACCCACATGCCCCCAGGCCCCAAACACAAGCAAACAACTCTCCACCGCCCCAAGGAGTCGCCTTTCCGAGGTCAAACTCATCCGGCCGCCCGGCTGCGCGAGACCGAAGACCTCATAGGCTTGCTCTCTCTCTTTAGGCTGAGAGTTTTCTACTGTGGCTCACGTTTTTATACAATATTCGTGCTGAGATGTTCGCCAGACCTGGTGCCTGGAATTGGCAGGCAAAACGCATTTCATCAGAGGAAGTTGGCCCAAAGGAAGGCCTGGGCATTCCTTCCCATAGATGTTGACTTGCAAGACTTGCTATTCATCCTAGACCCTGAGCTCAAAGCTCCAAAGGCTCCCCCTCCCTAAACCCTAAACCCTAAACCCTAAACCCTAAACCCTAAACCCTAAACCCTAAAACCTTGATTGTGCTCTCCGGATCTGAGAGTCTGAGCTCCTGGCCAGACTCCAAATCCACCCAAACCTGGGTGGAACTTCGACTGGCTGCGTGCCATAGGGTTTAGGGTTTAGGGTTTGGGGTTTAGGTTTCGATGACTGCGACGATACACTTGTTGAAATGTATGGCAGTCGAGACGACTTTGCCCACGGACCGACTTGGGGCTTCTTTTTGGGTGCCTTAGGGTGTCTGCCCTCGCAATGCGCCCGTGAGCCATGGGCTTCAAGGCAGCACATCGTGTGGACCGCCCCTAGGACGCCTCCGGCTCCTCGTAAATGCCCAGGCGGCCCTTCTCAAATATCAAAAGCCCTTTTCCGAAAACTCTAAACCCAAGATCTGCCAGTCCCAAGCCCTAAGCCATGAAACCCCCCTACACCCTAAACCTCAAACCCTACACCCCAAACCCTAAACCCTAAACCTGAAACCCCTCCCCTCTTTGGACCCGGCCGTGCGCTTGGGTGGGCCAACAGCGCGCGCAATGTTCCGCAGCTCAGTCGTGAGATTCTCACCTGGCGAGAGGCTAAGAATTCCGGGCAGGTTTTAAAGAATTAGAGGGGCTACCCCTAGAACCCCTGAACTCTAAACCTCAAATAAGCTTCAGCCTGTTCTAAGGAGGGCTGAGGGCTTCAGGACTTAGGAACCGGCCTCAAGTGACAGTGCAGAGGCTCCCTCTCTACAGCCCTCTGGCTCTCGGGCTCTTCGGGCATCAGGATGCAATGCTCTGCAACTACCCCAGTCCGCACTTCACCTCCCAATTGCCGACGATTTTTGGACAGTAAGGCCAAAACCCTAAGGACCTCTAAACCCCAAACCCTAAACCCTAAACCCTAAGCCCTAAACCCTAAACCCTAACCCCCCCCAAAATGGGCCGGCGTGGCTTGTCAAGCCGCCGCCGTAGCCGCAGTGGATGCCAGGATGTGGGCAGGGCCTGGCCATCATTCTGGTGGGGTTTTTAGGGTTTAGGGTTTAGGGTTTGGGGTTTGGGGTTTGGGGTTTGTTTAGGAGGCCTGAAGGCGTCCACGAACTAAGCTTGGATATCTTGGCGGGTCTCTGCAGGACCGGTTGGGTGCAGCAGGTGTCATTTGAGCTTGCTTGCAAGCTGCGAGGCTTTGAGTTGGAATTTGGCGGGGGGAGGTCGTGTTGGGGTTTAAGGGGTCGGGCTCGGAGCATCAGGAGAGGGGCCGAACCCAAATACCCTCAAGCAACCCCCCCCCCCCCCCCCGCCCACAACCCCCTTATGATTCAGACCCGAGCCCTGGAACCTAATTCCCGGAGCAAACCGCTCCCAAACTCGAATGTGCCAAAAGCAAGGGAGCCGGCCGCACGCGGGTCGCTTCACCCGCGAACTCTGCCCGTTTGTCGGGGCAGTGCTCTGCACCCCTGGGGTTATCAGGATTATACTTATTTTGACCCCTATTTTTGTAAACCCCCATATAGGTTTTGGAAACCCCATGATTCTCAATGATCAGCGCCTCTGTGAGGAATGCTCCTAGCCTCAACCCATTGGTGATGATCTGCTGCTTGCTTGAGATCTTCGCATGGCTTTTGTCTCTTTGGTCCAGGATTGAAGCTCAAGAGCCTCAAGCCAACCCTGAATCTGCCCCCTAAACCCTCAACCCCAAAACCCTAAACCCCAAAAACCCTAAACCCTAAACCCTAGCCCTAAACCCTAAACCCTGAACCCCAAATCCTCAACCCTAAATTGTTGGGACTTCGGATGTGTAGGGGGGCTGGTTTCAGGGCCTCGGTCGGGTTTCCAGCTTCAACATTCCACCACCCTGCGATTGGGGTCGCCTAAACCCTAAACCCTAAACCGTAAACCGTAAACCCTAAACCCTAAACCCTAAACCCTAAACCCTAAACCACACTGAACCCCGAAAGCAGCTCAAAAAGTCGAGGTCCTTCTGAGGATACAGCGTTCATGAAGTCTAAATAGGGGCCTGAATAAGTAGAACCTTTTACAAAGGGGCCATAAGGGAACACTACGTATTAAAAAACAAAATCCGACCCCTTTATTACGCACTGCCGCTGTATGACTCTACCCTGCAAAAACACGTCATGTGGTTTCGCGACGTCAATGTCTGCCACAACCGATTGTGAAAAGAAAGGCCGTCATGAGAAGGATTGGCCCCGCGCACTCCTACCGCCAGGCAATCCCCAAACTCACCGGTAAAAACCCAATCCTAAACCCTACACACCCCAAACCCCCCCCCAAATCCCCACATCCATGTTAAAACCCTACAGTACACCCCAAAAAGTTGGAGTATCCTTATCCCCATACCCCAAAAAGTATACTCAAGGGAATATCGGCTCTAATCATCCTTAAACCGTGTTCCAACTTTCTGGAGTTACCCCTAAACCCTAGACCCTAAACCCTATAAACCCTAAACCCTAAACCCTAACCCCAAACCCTAACCCAAAAGCCCTCCCAGGAGCGCGGCGAGACTTGTCGCTGCTTTCGCTGGTGCCAGCCTCCGCTTCCTGTGCTGCTTCTTGGGGTTTTTAGGGGTTCAGGGATTGGGGTTTAGGGCTAGGGTTTAGGGTTTAGGGGTTTAGGGTTTAGGGGCTTAGGGGTTTAGGCTAGCCCGATTTCGCGAGTTCGAGAAGGCTGGGCCCTGAACCCAGGCCTACACTGCAGAAACACCTCAGAGGGCCCGAAACCCGAAACTCTAAGCAACCAAGCTCTGAGTCCGGAAGCCCGAAATCCCTCACCCCCAAACCCTGAAGTCCATGAAGCCCTTGGCCCTAAAGCCCACAAGGCCCCACCACAATCGCTGGCCTAAAGCCCTTGTGGCCCTAAAGCCCTTGTGGCCCTAAAGCCCCCCATCTGCCTCTGAGAAGTAGAAGAAGGCAAGATTGGGCTGACAGTCGTTCCTGAGCCCGCAAGTCTTGCTACAACTTCGGCAGCCTGCGATGCTCAGGGTATGGAGGGGATTCTTTTGGGTTTCCGGGGGTGTTGAGGAACTGCAAACCTTTAACCCCCAAACAGGCTGTGGAAACGTTCTGTGTGTCTCAAGCGGAGCGATACGAATGAAAACCGAAAACTGCGAAAACACAGAAGGGCTTCCTTTGTGCCTTTCGACGTTTGTTTTTCTCTTTTTGCGCGTCTCGACGCAAACGCGCAAAAAGTACCACACGCAGAAGGTTCCGTAGTTTCCTTTGCGTAAATGGGCGAGTCTTACAGCAAGCTCAAAATGCTTCTCAATGGCACAGTGCAGATGTGAAACGCTTGCCCACCTATTCCTGACCCAAGCTATTTGGGGTTAACGATATTAGGGGTACCTTATTGGGGTTCTGATTATGAGAAAAACTCTACGAATTGGGCTCTCTTGTAGGGGCCGAGTATTTTCGTAAGACCTCCTTTCCTCCAGAGGGCCAGGGCATGGGGCGTTGGGGTGAGCCCCAAGCTCCCAGATTCCACATTTAGGAGGTAGGGGGCAAGGATTCTTCGGAATCCAGGGTTCCCCTAAACCCTAAACCCTAAACCCTACACCCTAAATCCTACACCCTACACCCTAAACCCTAAAACCCTAAACCGCTCAAGTTCAAGGTCTCACCCGTTGGCTTCCTCTTGTGGCTGCCTAAGAAACAGTGTCTTTGGGCTCTTATCATGGTATGGTCGGACCTGGTAGTTGGGATGTTCCCCCTATACTAACAGTCCTTAAAGGGCATGAATATAGGGGGGGGTACTAAAATCCCCATTAAGGGCTGTTAGTAAAGGGGGAACATCCCAGCCCGGCAACCTAACTCTCAGAATCCGCAACATCCGGTCTTCAAGCTTGCGGCCACTTGGGGGCCAAGGAGCATCAGATGAAACGTCAGAGCTCTGGTCTCCTCGCAGCGCCAGAACATGGAGGTTTGCGAAAATGGACCCCCATAAGGTAGGTTTAGGGTTTAGGGTTTAGGGTTTAGGGTTTAGGGTTTAGGGTTTAGGGTTTAGGGTTTAGGGTTTAGGGTTTGGGGTTTAGGGTTTAGGGTTTAGGGTTTGTACCCCCAATATCGTAAACCCCCACATGGCTCACCGGAACCGGAGTCTAACAATGCCATGCCCTACACATTCCGGGTGACAAGCATGCCAGAACCTTGGTTCGACCCGGACCCAAAACTACTAACTATTTGCTTAAGACCCCCCCAAAAAAGTCCCTACATTACCCTTATCAGGAAGAATATTTTCAGCTCTTGGGGGTTTCTTCAGCAATTCGTAGAAGAGCTACCCAACACCTTAACGTGCAGGAAGGGTTCCTTGGTCACGAGCAAGACAAACTCGACTTGGGGAAGCGCCAGGATCACTTGCCGCAGAGTCGTCAGGTATTTCTTCCTTGCAGCCAGTAGGTAACAAGGTTTGGGTGTAGAAATCTAGGAACATCTTCGCATATTACTTGGTGAAGACCTTGGGCATTCACGACTGCGAGCTGATAGCCTACTCTCATGAATTGTTGTTGTCCCGCTCCTACATGGTGCCATCTTGTCATGCCAATGCATGTCGCCTCAGACCTGGCACTCAATTATGGTGGCCCCTTTATGGTTACCCAACAACCCGCCCGAATATGGAGAGAGCTGCCAAATCTCCTCCCATCCATCCCAAGACCGCCGTGCAAAAGTTTCGACCCCTGAGCCCGAAAGCTGAGCTTGGAAAGGCTTTGGAGTTTAGGTTTGAAACGTTTAAGGTTGCCCAATATGTGAGAAGACAACGTTCCCCCCATACTGGTGGTAGGGTTGAGGATAGCCAAACCGGAATCTGAGGAGTGGGCAGCTGCGAGCTGTTCACGCCGTTTGCACGCGTCGGGCAAAGGTACACCCGCAGGAATCCGTAATCCTGCTATGGATTGCGATTCAGGTTCGTAAAGTTTAGGGGTTCATGCCTCTATCAGGGTTTCGGGAGTTTAGCTCAAGGTTTGGGACCATTTGGTGGTTGGGAGGATGATGCGTAGGTCTTATGAGGGATCGACATCCGGACGCAGGCAGAGAGGATGGGGCACCGTCCGCAAGCATCTCCGATTCTTCAAGGATCCTCATCCCGTGGCTACTTGTAAAACAGAACAAAGCGATGCTGGTGGTGGTCCGTGAGGAGTCGGTGATAGGCTGGCAGGATGTTGCAAGAGGAGTCGTTGGGGCAGCCATGTGATTCGGATGCGTCTGGGTTAGTGCTTCGTAGTAGGTGTGCCCTTCCACGGGGCTTCAGGTTCAGGGATCTCTAGGGGCTCCAAAAATATTCGTCGGGCCCAAGACCTCTGACTCCTAAACCCCTCTGGGGCTTACAAAAACACGGGGCCCCTAAGAAAGGATCCCCTGACAATAGGGACCCCAATAAGGTACCCCTAATTTCCTAAAACCCGAGTACCCTAAGCCCCAAAGCGGAGGCAGGCGAAGAGCCTCCCACAGGGTCCGCACGAGCGAGGCGTCGCCTTTTAAGACATCCACGCAGTACTCACCTGATGGGATTTTGTTTAGGACTTGGTTTAGGGTTTAAGGTCTAGGTGGCGAACCCCCCCCCCCCCCCCTTGCAAGCAAAGCCTCCTCGCCTCCCCAACCCCTGTCCCACATGGACACAGGAAATCCTACAGTCATGCATGTACTATAGCCCCTAAACCTGAATTGCCAGTTTGCTCCCCGACCCTCAACCCCCCTGCCCTTCCCCTGGAAATCGCTCAGCCTCAGATCCGAAGACTCAATGTTTTAGGGTGTAGGGGTTTAGGGTTTAGGGTTTAGGGAAAAAGAGGCCTACACCCCCGAAGCCTCCAAGCCTGCAAAGGTAATGGAAGTGGCCCCTAATCCCAAAACCCAAAACCCTAACACCCTAACACCCTAAGACCCTAAGACCCTAAGACCTAAGACCCTAACACCCTCCCCCCCCCCCCCCCCCCCACTTCCATCGAACTCCATGCGCCCACCCGCGGGTGCCTCCCAGGTGCGCCGCGAAGTGGATCGGAGCAAACTTGCCAGTCTGCTGCCGCCGGTCGATCCTGGGTATGGAATCATAGAACAATATAGAATAGCAGAAAGTACAGAAGGACAAACTAATGGAATAGTAGAATAAGGGATGAATGGAAGAATCGAATGACAGAAGAATGGAATAGTATGGTAGTACGACAATTTCACATATAGTAAGTTAGGGGAAGAGTTCAGGCTCGCATCTACAACGCCCAAAGTTGTGAGGGACCCCAGAAGACAAAGCACTCAGACGTAGCATAGAGCTGACGGGAGGGTGGGGCTATTGCATGAAGTTCTCGAGTTTACCTTTCCCAATTATTCGACTTTTTAAATCGGGGGCTTCGGAAAAGCCCAAGCGCATGTACTTGGTAGCCGAGTAACACCATATCATACTAAAGGCACCCTTTTTTTGGGTTGGAACTACTCTATAAGGGAACCTCGGAAAAGGTCACCGCTGGCTACCACGTGTAGGAAGTGGATTCCTGAACGGCTGCTGCCTTCGGCTCCAAAGGGTTTGTGGCTTAGGGTCAGAGGAGTCAGGACCTTAGTTCTCGTCACAGCATGACCTTCCGATCCCTAGTCGGGTCTCGGGCTTGAGGATTAGGCGCGACGTACCCGCCCACGGATCTTTGCGCGGCGTACGCGATGCCTAAGTGCTGTAACCTCAACATCAGACTCTACACATCCCCAAGGGGCACCACATAGCTCCAAAGCCAGAGGCTTCGGGTGCCCACGGCGCATGATGAGTAGCCCGGAGCCCTATGAACGCTTAAGTGCCGCATTCAGTCTCTCAGCCCCAAAACCGTAAACCCTGAACTCGGAACATTGTAATAATTAGAATGTGGTTCCGGGGGTTCTTTTAGTATATATATATATAAAGGGACCCTAAGGGGATTGTACAAGTAATTATTCCGACCCCTACTGTAGCTGGGCTGGGCCCCTGGCTCCTCTTGTAACTGTCGCAGCCACGCGAGCGAGGCCTTAGCAGCTCCCACTTACAACATCGCATGGTTCAATACAGCTTATATAATACATGATATCTAGATCATATACCATATGATACAACAGACTATTCTTATACATAACCTAGTAGGAACGTATTTCACATTCTGAGAATGAGTTGCTGTGTTCAGAAGACACACATAGTATTGCCCCTAACCCCTAAACCTAAACCCTAAACCCTAAACCCTAAACCCTAAACCCTAAACCCTAAACACTAAACACTAAGCCCTAAACCCTAAACCCTACAGCCCTAGGCGCCCTTGAAGGCTCTGCTGCCCCGATGGGGTGCACTCAGCCCGCCGCATATCTCGGCTCGCGACCCTGCTTCTCGGCCCGGAAGTTCACACCCCACCTTGTTTTGGGGTTTAGGGTTTAGGGTTTAGGGTTTAGGGTTTAGGGCTTAGGGCTTAGGGTTTAAGCTGTCGCCTCATGGTTGCGAAGCATTTCTAGACCAGGATGGCCCCTTAAAACCCGATTAAACATCTTTTCTGAATGTGATCCTCTTCAACCCAATAAGGGGAAACGTAAAATGTCCCAAGGGCCTACCGAGTAGATGTGCCTTTTTGGATGGGACACGAGTGTTTAACGTTCGCTTCCTAGGATTCCTGGGGGGAGGTGGACGGGGTTTAGGGCTTGCAGCAAGCTTCTGCCGGCTCAGCCGGGAGCTGTTCAACGAGTTTTTAGGCGCCCTTGGACTACTTCAAGGAGGATGGGGCCTCCATGGGCTCACTTCAAGGGGGGTTTAGGGTGGAGGAGCGGAGACTCCAAACCTGAACCCAAAAGCTCACGGGACCTGGGATGGCTAAAGGGTTACATACGAAGGCCCAGATCTTCCTAGTTCGACAATACTAAAAAGTTGAATGTTTATTCCTTATTGGGTTCAAGTACCCTAAAAAAAGCAACCCCCATCTGGGGCTGCATTATCCGGGCGCTGCCTTCCTCTTGCTTTGAAGCTACGGGTCCTTCGGAGCTGCCCTAAGCTCAAAACTTCTAAGCCTTAAGCCCAGCGCCTTGACGTATGTAGGAGGACGGTCGGGCTCGTGGGAGTTCCGAGATGGATGGGAAACTAGAAGCTCAGCCCTCCAGAGTCCTCTACCACATGACTCCCCTGACCTCGAACTCAGAGAGAGGATCAAAGCCTATGCCACCGCAGAAGGACAAGGCGGTCGTCGCACGAAGACTGAGCGAAGAACTCCACGAAGGAAAATTCCTGTTCCGGCTCGCGACAAAGCTTCAAATTCCCCCCTTAGCCGGAACTTCCGGAAAACTTCCCCAGGCCTTCAACCCCTAAAGTTCAAGCCCTTAAGCCCCAAACGCCAATCCAGCCAGTCCCCGACCCCTTAGAACCCCAAACCCCTCAACTGCTTGGAGCGTTTGAAGCTCCGGGTTCGGGCGTTTGAAAACTCAACTTGCTTGTAGCTGCCGGTTGAAGGTTCCTTTTCCAGTATAGGGCTTCAGAAATATGAAGATCTGTACCCCGAACTCTCAGCCCTAGAACTTTTATGAAATGAAAGGCTCGAAAGGCCACAATCAGAAGTCGGACAAGTTCCCTGCAAGAGCCTGCGGCTTCATCGGACCTCTTGGACTACTTGCAACGGCATATACCCGGAACCCCAAGCCTCGTACTTGCACCGTAGGTGACAAGAGATATGCCCGTAGCCCTAGGTTGGACCTCTAGAGCCCAGGTACGACTCGTGAGCTTTCTCTGAAAGCCGGAGCGGTCTTCAGAGCCCCTCTCCTGCGAGATGTCGCACAGCGTTCGCGGCGAGACTGTGTCGTCCACGCCGCTTAGCGACCTTAGCAAGGGCGCGGGCTTTAGAGCCGACGCCCGAGGATCCTAAAACATCCTAAAAATTAGTTCAGTTAGAGTCGCAAACCCTACCCTGCAACCATCTAAAAGCCAGAACGCGCTCAACCCGAACTCTCATTGGATCCTCCTGAGCTCCAACTTCTGGCCCCTGCGGCGCAAGATGAAATTTCCGCAGCTAGATGTGGCTGCCTCTGCAAAATCTTCGACCCTCTCAGGGAGAGGCAGAAAGCTTAACTCGAAGCCTTTGAGGGGATCGTCGTCCTGCCAGGTCTCAGGGGTTGACGAGGTTTGAGGTTTCCTGAACCCTAAACCCCAAACCCCAAACCCCTGGGCTTTCAGGTTTGAGAGCTTCCTGGAGCTTCCACAGAACATCGGGGGCTGGGGGGCTCTAGGCTCCAGATCGGGTTGGGATAGTTCGTGGGAAATCAAGGTGGCATGTAGGCCTCTAGAGTCCGCCTAAACCCTAAACACCCTAAGCCCCAAACGCCCTAAACCCTGAACCCTACAACCCAGGGTCCCCCGAATTCCCTAAGTTGCAATCCTAGATGGCTGATAGCTGGCTTTTTTTCGTCGCTCGACTTTGCAAGCATGCATGCTCCTATCACCAAGACCTGGCGACTTGTGTACGACATCCACAGGCTTTCTCTCTCTCTCTCTCACTCTCTCTCTTTGCTTTGAGCGGGCAGCTTCTCTCTCGCTCTCTCCCTCCCCCTGAACGGCCTCGATCCCTAAACAAGAGGGGCCGCCGTATCATTCGGACCCCAAAACGGACCATAATTTAGAGAACTCAACCTTCGGGCTCCGCGCCTCATTCCCTTGACCGAACCAGCTTGCACATAAGACCGCCTCCAGCGTGGCTCCAGAACCAGGAGGGCGGCTGGGCCCTGGCAGTGAGAGCCCTAAACCCTAAACCCTAAACCCTAAACCCTAAACCCTAAACCCTAAACCCTAAACCCTAAACCCTCAGGGTTTGGGGCTTAGGGTTCCCTGCGCCTCTTGGGGGTTAGTCTTGGGGGTTAGGGTTTAGGGTTCCCTAAGCCTGCAGGGAAAGCCCTGTGCGAGATCGGGATTCTTGCTGGAAACCGGAACTGCAAACAAGCAAAAACTTAGATGAAGTACCCGTTGTCTAAAACGCTTCCCTAAACCCAAAAGACCCTCAAGTTGTTCCTTATGCCTCAACACAGTACGCTGAAATGCGGCAACGTGGTGCCGAACGCATCAAGGAAGTCTTCAGAACAAAGAAAGTTTAGGGCTTCAAGGTCAAGTTTCAGATTATCAAAGGCCCCGAACGAAAAAACACCCTAAACCCTAAACCCTAAACCCTAAACCCTAAACCCTAAACCCTAAACCCTAAACTTCAGCGTATTGGGCCCAGGCACCTTGACCCTTCTGTGAACAGGATCGGAGAATGTCTCCCCACTTTAACTGGGTTCATAGGGTTTATAGGATTTATAGGGTTTTGGGACATCCAGCCTGATGGTGTACTCGTCGTGCTGCCGCTGGGGCACTTGCACCGAGGTCCATAAGCGCTGAACCAGGCACGAGCCTGCAGGCTTAGGGTTTAGGGTTTAGGGTTTCGGGTTAAAACCCTACATTCAAAACCCGAAGCAACCCCCCCCCCCCCCCCCCAACATGACAGCGTTATGCTACAAAGGAGGTTCTAGGGTTCGGAATCTGATCTCGGAAAAAAGGTACGACTTCAAGCTGGAAAGGCTGAAGGATGGAGCGGCCTACCACTTCAGAAATGCCAGAGACTCAACCCTCTACGGCAGGAAGCATTTGCCCCAGGTCCTAGGTCACTGGGTGTAGTTACATAGTTAGTTCTCCAGATTGGGGGTCTAGTTTTATGTGTGACGTACTAAAAAGGGGACCCCGAAAGGGATGCCAATTTAGAGAACTGCCCATGTAGAAGGGCATTGATGTCCAGGTCTATGTTAGTGGGGCTGAAGGTATGTTTAGGGGCAGGGTTTTGGATGGGTTTAGGATTGAAGAGACCGACAACCCCCTTCTCCGGATTCGTCTAATCCACAGCAGCCAGGAGATGTATGTAAATCCCGGTGTTGAGGCCTACTGGATTCTGGGACGACTTTCAGTACTGTAATCCTGTAACATACTTGGTGCTGTCTGTGGCCTGCACCTTCCACCACGCACCGAAGCACATGTTGGGGATCGAGTTTTTTTCACGCCGGATCAGAAGCCCGCGTCATGCCCTCCCGGGTAGGCGAGCTGAGTAGCAGCTCCAGCTTCAACAGCAGCTCGTCGAGCCCGTCTGTGGCCTCCTGCACGATCTTCTCCAGCGATGGCACTGGGTAGTCGTTTCCGCAATGGGCCATCACTTCCCAAGGTGACAGCTTGTCCAGAAGCGACTCCAGCACGCGCACAGGATGATCTGTGAGGTTCTCTGACTTCGTCTCTGCGAAGATGGTCGGGTCAGGGACATCAGGCACACCCATTCGAATGGCCTCGGAGGCGACCGCGAATTTGAGCTCCGAGGGAACATCGTCGAAACCATTTCGCCACTCAATCGCGCTGGCACGCGCCCCGAGCCATTCCCAATCCAATAGTGCTCGCATGTGTCCGGTTGAAGGATCCATGAGGATGTTCCTGCCGCAAAGATCACCATGGACACAGCACACGGGACAGTTGTCAAGGTCGTCAGAAAAATGCTCAATCACCGCCTTGACGCGGGAAGCATATGGGAGCAATGGAGCCACAGCTTGATACTTCTCCTCAACAAATTTCACGTTTCTTGTGCTGTACTTGGCAAAAGTGTCGAGAATGTGCTGAGATGTCGAGACAAATGGGCCGTCGGTGGCATCCGTTTCGCCTAAAAATGGACCAATGTGCTGTTCGAGGTTCCCTAAGTCGTGATCCTCCATGCTCGTAGCGTTAAAGGATGCAATGGCGCCAATAGATGAGAACTGAAGGGAATTCAGTGCGGCAATGGCACTGGCAATGTCGTGTGCGATTTGCTGCTTCGCACCGTCGCCAAGCCGATTGTACGTTCTGTCGGTGAGCAAGGTGCCCTCGATCCACTCCATGCCCAGGCAGCACCACGCGGTGGAGATGTCCGGGTTGCGGTCGCACACAAAGAGCAGTTTCGGGATAGGGATCGAGGGGAGCAGCTTGCTCACAAAACGGATGGCTGCGACTTCGTACAAGAACTTCTGAGGGGGCCACGTGGTCGTCCCTGTCAAACGAAGGCACAGCCGCAAGGGAATCGGGTCAGCGGCTCCGCCATCTTCCTGGGGGACTCGCCGGACGGACACAGACACGTCATAGACCTTGTTGTTGAATCCCCTGGCTAGGAATTCCAGCTTGTCCACGGAAACGAGCATGTACTGGTCTGCAAGATACGCAGTGAAGAGGTGTGCCACGTCGACGTCCGTCAGCGACAGGCCCTTTCGATGAAAACTGTCTTCCTCCTGCCCTTGGTACCCACTGTCGCTCGGCGGCTTGGCCATGATCTGCTCCGGCACCAAGTACGAGGACGGGCGTATTAATTCACCAACAGAATCTAGAATGGAAACGAACTGAGCTGAGACTGTAGACCGACTGCCCTCTTTCCGTGGCGTTCTTTCAGAGTACTTCGTACTCGATGTAGGAGTACAAGACTTGCGTATGATCAAACTCTAAGTGTCTACCGGGAGGAAAGCTGAAACTCCCTCGACTTGCTTCTCCTAAGTTAAGAAAGATTCCTCCAACCCCATGAACCCAAAAGGCACCCATGCACAGCCTTGCCCCCGCCACGATCCGCGGCCGAACTGCGACCTGCCATGTACCGTGGATTTGGTTAGGGTTGGGGGCTGAAAGCTAAGGGGTTGGGGTTATGGTTAGGGCCAAAGTTTAGGGTTTAGGGTGGGCACTCTTGGGGCTTGCGAGTTTTGCAGCGGCAGGCTTGGAGTCCCGTGAACGTATGGACGTCAGGACTGAAAGCACTGGGGGTTCAGGTTCTCAAGTGTCCCCTCAAGCCCTATGTGATTCTGCTCGGACTTGGTGAGGCCACTGGGGCCAGGACAAACGCAACAAACAGCATTCTTTCGGGTATGATTGCGCGATTGCGCGCACCTAGAGTTCAGTGCCCAAGGCGCTCCTACTGGTTGTTGGCGGGCAAACAAGTCAAGAACCCCCGAGAGCTCAAACAACACACAAAATCCAGTCAGACCTGCCATCAAACCCGAAAAGTCTAACATGCTGGGATTGGAGCCTTCGCCGTTTCTTGCAGGGGTGCACAGCAGCCTAAGAACCAAAACCTGTTTCGGAACCTTGGATACATCTGAAGACGAAGTGTTGAACTCTCCGCAGATAAACACTGCCCGGGCCGCTTCCCGTGCTGGGCTTTGCCGAGGAGCTACTTTGGCCGCCTCGATCGGGGCCAGAGCATCGGAAGGTTCAGCAAATTCAGCCCCTCAGCCGCCTCAACCCTCACTATGAGGCCCTATACTCCTTAGGATGTTCGGGCTCGAGGCCTTGCGGTGAAAGAGATCTCGAATCATCGCGGCTACTCTGCTGCTCGAGCGAAGGAGGGTCCAGGCTTGAGCTTGAAGAAGAAGGGTACCCTGTTTCATTAGGTCGCATCATCGACTTCTTCAGCTGAACTGGGCTAAGGTCTGAATAATGCGGTCATGTAGGAGCTGGCTTCTGGGCCGAAGAGGGAGCGGGGGATCTTGGAGGAGCTTCCCTCATGACCCGTTGGTCGTCTTATCGAAGGTGAGCCAAACAACTCTTGCAGTGTCTGTCTAGCCATACACTATGAGTGCCCCCCCAGCTGCCTGGGTGTGATACCAGCGCTTCTGTTGGGTGAGATGACTGCCGTTCTGAAAGGCGAATTTAGGGGGGCCCCATAATAAGGTTTTTGGGGGTTATTATTATTAGTATTGTTATTATAGTATATTTCTAAAGGGGCCATAAGGGAATACTACTAGTAATTCTTCCGGCCCCTATCTTAAGTGCAAGAATCGCCGAGGCTACCGCTGTGATTCACCAAGCCTGAGCCAGCGGCCGCCTGTCACAACGCGGCCCATCTTCGTATTCAGAGAGGTTAGGGTTTAGGGTTTAGGGTTTAGGGTTTAAAGTTTAGGGTTTAGGGCAGGGTCTAGGGTCTAGGGTTCCAGGTTTCAGGGTAATTAGAACATCAACGCCGGGGACAGGATTGAGATGTCACAGGGAGAAGCAGGGCAGTGCCTCGACGGGCTCACTCTCCTCCGACGACATGAATTGCAGCAGGCGCTACTCAGTGTCTTCTATGTATGCAAAGAACAGCAAATCCTATCATCCCAAAAAAAGCCCTTAACCATGGGGCTACCCGAGCATGGTAAGAGTCGAGCCCCAAGGGGTGAAGGCTTCGGGGGGTGTGGGGGGTTCGAAACCAGCCCCTTTGTCGCAGGGGCATAGAACCCGCCGGCACACAAAGGGCCCTTGTATGCCCGCCGTCTGTAGGACTTCTGGCTGCTCATGTTCTACGGGGAGCTCGAAGAGTGCTTGTGCTGCATGACTTGCCGGTTTCATCTGCTCTAGGTGGTCTTGTAGGAGCGGCGGCGAGGTGAATACTTTCCGAAAATCAAAGTGCTTCAGATTCGGGTGTGGGATTGCAGGGGAGTGCTTCGCTTGTGCATACCTCCAAGGCAAGCAGACCGGAACCTTAGCAACCAGGGGCTTATATCTGATATGCCCCAAGTGCCCAGACGCATGCCCCAAAGCAAGCCACAAACCCTAAACCCTAAACCCTAAATCCTAAACCCTAAACCCTAAACCCTAAACCCTAAACCTGTGAATGCCAGGTGTTCCAGAGTCTACAGAGGCACGGACGCAGGTTTGGCGCTCAAGCTTTGCGAAGAGTCAGGCTCATCCAAAGCACTGAGCCACCAGATTCAGTTTGCTGCATAGCATGATACTGTATATCGCAGCCGTACAGCATGGCTGGCACAGAAGAGCTGTAGAGTTCTCGTCGACAACTACCTCATGACTTCGCATTTCATGGTTAGCCACGGGTGTTGTGTGGGGCATTGCAGATGCGAGTGGCAAATGCTGTTACGATCGCCTAGTAGTCTCGTGGTGGAGGCTGAAGCGCGCGGATTAGGGCCTCGGACTTCAATCGTGTAGGTTTCAGCGGAGAAGTTTCAGGTTTTCAGTTTCAAGCTGGAGTGATACCTGTCAGATTAAAGGAAGTGTGCGCTTCCTGAAAGGTGACTGGCTGCTTTGGCACATGCAAAGTGAAAAATGCTTCAGAGGAATGCTTCGCTTCGTCCTGGCCTGCCAACTCGATTCCTCTGACAAAGGCTTCTTCATCATCCCTGCGCTCGATGCGTACACAACCGACAAGCTGCGTACCTTTGTGCCCAAGTTAGCCCAAGTTAGCTCAAGTTCCAACCCAGTCCTGGAAACCGCCGGTGGCAGGCTTTCCGGAAACTCTCTGTGTCTTAGACAGGAGCAGCGCTGGTAGTTTGGGCGGTCGGTCGAACAGTGCCCCCGGCAAGGGTTTTAGGGGGCTTAGGTACAAGATTTCAGAGCCTTCAGTTCTTATGCTTGGGGTTTTAGGGTTTAGGGCTTTAGGGTTTTAGGGTTTAAGCGTCTTAGGGTAAGGGTTTAAGGGTTTTTTCGGGTTTTGGGTTTAAGGGTTCAAGGGTTCAAGGGTTCTAGGGTTCTAGGGTTTTAGGGTTGTAGGGCTTTAGGGTTTTCGGGTTCTAGGGTTTTAGGGTTTTAGGGTCTCGGAAAGAGCAGCAGGACTCCCACCCAAATCGGCAGGAGCTAAGTGGCTGCCAGGCGTTCTCCAAACAGGGGAACGCCTGGACTTGTCGAGCCACAAGGGATCTTCACCCACTTTAGCCCGCTTTTGTAGGGTCATGTAGGGAATGACGGTTTCAGGATCGTCTGCAGGCTCCCCCCAATGATACTCAACCGCAACTCGGCCCCACTTGCTGACTTGCTGGCTTCGGTGTCTCTGATGAGGGGCTTAGTGTTCTTTACCAGGTATACGGTCTAGGGCTTGGGGGGGTTTCTTAGCCTGGGATTTAGGTTTAGAACTCAGAATCGTATTCGGATTCCATGAGGGTTTTGCGGTTTGGGGGCTTGAGGGCTTCTGCGCAGATGTGGCTTGCACTCTTTCCTGACTATCTGCAGGCGAAAGATCATCTCAGCGATCGTCCCCCGAGGGCCGTGGCAAAGGTGATGGCGTGCGTCGTGTGAACCTGCTCGGCATCACTATTTCGCTTCGGTGGCCGGCCTAGAGGTGCTTTTATCAAAGAACCCCCTTCCCCCCCCCCCCCCCCCCCTTCCGGCCCAATAAAAAAGGGAACCCCTCCCCCTCCCCCCCCCCCCCACCCCCCTTAAAAAAGGGAAGCCTTCCCCACTCGCCCCCCCCCCTTCCCCCGCCGCCCGTTAAAGGAATCACCAGTTACAACAACCTGCACTTGCATCCGGAAGCTGAAGTCCTAGACGTGCAGTGTTCAAAGATTTATAGCCCAGCTGAGCCACACTTTCACTCCACAGATGCTACGTCAGCTATGTTTGTTCGTGCGCCATCACATCCTCGCAACGACTTCTGCCTCACATGGCGGTGGTCACATTATGGTCCTAGGTTCCTACTGTCCTACTTGAGGAGCGATCCAAGATCAACTTTCGGAAGAAATGAACCTGCCAGAAGAAAAAAAAGCAGCTCTGAGAATCATGGGAGGAACGCCTAACCCTAAACCCCGAAAATAATCCCTAAACCCTAAACCCTAAACCCTAAACTCTAAACCCTAAACAAACCCTAAACCCTTAAACCCTCGGCCTTTTCCTCCGGGTGTGGGGAGAGATTCATGAAGAAGACTGGCCGGGCGTTGCCACTGAGGCAGTCTCGGAGGATCCTGGCAGAAGTTTGGGTTTGGGTGAAAAAGAAATTGTATAGGGCTTGGGTCGCACAAAGTTTTGAGCGAAACGTTTTGACCGAAACGTTTTTGTTGAGATATTCGGTTTTATGAGGCGGAAGGGGCTGGGACTCTTTGGGTGGGAAGGCCCCAAAGGTTCAAGTAAACTGAGCATTTGGCCTCGCAGGCGCAGTGGATGAACTTACTTAAACTCTGCTTGTCAGCTGTTTAGACAAATAACTAGGGAAATTCAGAATGATACCACATACAATTTCTATTTATTTTGTCTTGAGGGTTTAGGGTTTAGGGTTTAGGGACATGCTTGAAGGTGGGCCAAGGTTGCGGGTTTAGGGCTGGTTTGAGCTCGAGGGCTCGGGGCTTTCCAGATTTGAATGGGGCCATCCTGTTCGGAACAGAGGATTCTACTGGAGGGTTGAAGGTTCCCTAAACCCGAACCCCTAAAGTCAAAACTAGACCCCAAAAACAGAAAAAAAACCCTACATGGGCCCAAAATTCGGGGGTTAAGAATAGTTGCCCGCTTTTCTGCAGGCCACACGCGCTGAAGGTTCAAGTTAACTATTGGATTCAGGGTGGTCATGATCTGATTATCGGAGCCCCAAAGGAACCATAGACTTTGGAACAGCCCACTGTGCATCCGAGAAGCCTCTTTGGGGCTGTATGGTTTGAGGGTTTAGGAGGAGCCCTTGAGCCTCATCACCACAAAAGGAAGGCCCCAAAGTCGAGACTGGGACTCGAGCCTCAAGGGGGGGGGCTCAGCTGAGGCCAAGGTGCGTGGGGCCAAGGCATCTAGGTGGAGGGCCGCTAGGGCTTTTGGGTTTCGGCTCCAAAGACCAAAAGAAACGCGCCAGCGCCGCTGGCCCAGCACGTGTTTCCTCCTTGATGTCGCGCTGGCCGAAGTCTGGGCAATGGGCGCTTGTAGGGTCGTGGGTTTGTCTCTTGGACATTTCCCAAAGTAGCCGTACCCTTTTATACCCCCAATAGAATAGAGTCCCCCTTAAAGGGAACCCCCCCAAAAAAGGGTCCCCTATTTCCGGAAACCCCCCGTATCAGCTGGAATGTACGAAGTTGCACAATGGGTACTTGGCTGCACTTAGGAGGGTAGTCAGAAATTATCTATTTTTTTGCTGCCTGATTCAAGAAACCCAAGAAACCCAAAAAGGCTAAGGATCTAAAGTTACAGTCAAGCACCACAGAGGGGTAGGGGCCCCCCCTTGGGGGCTTCCTAGGCATCTGCAGGCCAGCACGGGGGGGCCTGCCCATCGCGTCGGCTGGCTTTGATCACTGCCTGGCAGTCTTGGTAGCCCAGGAACAGGGTTTAGGGTTTAGGGTTTAGGGTTTAGGGTTTAGGGTTTAGGGTTTAGGGTTATTCTAGTAAGGGCGCCCCTTTTTTTTGGGCTGGCGACTTTTTTTTAGGGAACCTTGAGCCCGCCCAAAAAAGGGGAACAAAAAGGGTACTACTGGGCTACCAAGTCTTCAAGGAATCTTCCGCTTGGGGGGTTTTGGAAGGTCGGGGAGATGACCTTCTGGTTCTACGAGGAGGAGCCCGATTTCTTGGGTTCAGCTTTGGTTTTTTCCCTAAACCCTAAACCCTAAACCCTAAACCCCTAAACCCCTAAACCCCTAAACCCCTAAACCCCTAAACCCAAAATTTTGGGGCTTCAGAGCTCCCGAAGGGCTGGGATTGCAGGCCTTCATGGCTCCCGGCTGCCATATATGGTTTCACAAGGCTTCTGGGTATGCAGGCCACGGTCATGCTTATGGCTCAGAAGATTGGGTATCTGTCACTGCGCTCTTTCCTTATCCCTATCCTGTTCCGTGCTTTCATTCGCCCACTCATTCTTGTTACGCGGGTGCTTTATTTGGCTGGAGAACCTGTTGTTGGTGTCTTCGATGTGTTGCTCTTGATGTTGAGCATTTACGAACGGGGGGCCCCTAGCTCTAAAGGGACCGAGTCTTCGAACTTCAGAGTCGACTCTCTGAAGGACCCAATCTGCCAGGCCTCGAGGGCGCTGTAGGCCGAAGACACCTGGGAAAAATATGCCGAGATTCAGGGCGAGCTGCTCGAGCCTCTTGGGTAGCACAGCAAAAAACCCTTCCTGGTTCGTAGACACACAGCCGCCACGCCTCCTTAGCCGCAGCACTCGAAGAGGCCTGGGGGACTTCACTTGTAAGTGCTTGGGATGGCTTTGAACTCGATGGCTTCCCTTGGGCCCGATCGGGTTTTGCGGGTCGTGTCGATGAGGACTTCAGCACTAGGTTTAGCGGTTGGAGGTTCGTGTCAGAACATCTCTGCTGAGTTTCAGACCTCAACACCTTACTGGAACGCAAGCCTGGAACGCAAGCCTG